ATCATGTGTCACCTGAGGTGCACGTGATCTACGAGTGTGCTCTCGTTACAATCAGGACAAAAGACTTAAACATACAAATGGTTATAGCCCAATCGGTAAAAGAGTTGAGGTGAAACATATGGCACAGAACTGGGGACTGCACAAAACCGCCTTTCCCATTCTTTGTACAGAAAGAATGATTGATCTTGGCCTTTATCAGGGGAACGTCAATGGAGCAACATTTAAAGACTTTGTGGATGAAAAGCTATGTCCCAACTTGCTTCCATTTTATGGAATCAACCTGCGATCAGTGGTCATAGTGGGTACAAGAGAACATTTCACAATATTAGGATTTTGATCGAATTGTAAAATAATTGTTTCCACCCTTGTCCAAATTCTCTTTAAAAAAATCACTGTAAATAACCTCTCTCCATAAATTTATTTCTTCCTTTCTTATTTGTCTTTTAGATAAAGCAGCTATCCACCACACACAAGCAGCGATTGACACAATTAATGCAACAGGAGCGATTGTTCTTTTTCTTCCGCCCTACAGTCCTGATTTCATGCCGTGTGAAGAACTTTTTGCACAAGTAAAGAGCTGGATCAGGGAAAATGATGTAGCCTGGCAATTTTGCATGGATCCAGAACTTATGGTTGAAGAAGCGTTTCTTCAAGTCACAGATGAAGAAATCAAAAACTACATTCAACATGCAGAATATTTTTAATGACTTTTTACAACAGTTACTATTCATATAAATCATGAATTTGGCTTCAATTATAAAGTGCTTGTTCTTTTGTGAGGAAAATTGGTCAAGAACACCATCATCTTTCAAACTCTTGAGGTCCTTCGGCTGCTGAAGGATGGCACAACAGATACATATCTAAACCAAAAATAAATCAGTTGATTAATTAAAACTGAATACATGCAGACATAAAAAATCCATCTGTAGGATAAATGTTAAGATGCCTACCTTTTTTCAATGTCCGTAGAATTCCCAGTAACCTCATTGCTTGATGTTTGGGTGTGTTTGACTGAACCTCGCCCCTTCCTAGTAAAAAATGGGACGTCTGAAGGGTTTTCTTTGTCGTTGTAGGTTCCATTTACCTGAAACAAAACAACAACACCAATACCTGCATTTTAATTGCTACTCTAATGAGCTCCAAGACAAGACAAGACAAGACAACTTTATTTTACCAGGGTAGCCCAGTCAGCTG